AAGTTGAAAAATATTTTTCTTTTTTTCTAGAAAATTAATTTTTTGAGTTGTGTTACTTTTGATGGACGAAAGCGATATCTATACACGGAGAGAATTTTCTTTTAAAATTTACCCTGAAAATATGGTAGTTGTGGTACAATACAATATTTTAAAGATTTTTACCATGCACTTCGGTAAAATTGATCAAACTTATTTTATACCTTATTGTAGTTTTATTAATGTATGAGAGAGATTTACATTAAAAAATTCTTCGAAATATAATGTTGTCCCACGACTGTCATATTTTCAGGGTAAATTCTAAGAAAAAATTCTCTCCGTGTAATGACAGAAATTCTTCGATTATACCATTCATTGCTGTTCCTGTTTGGAAAGCGAAGATGCGCACGTGATCTCGACGAATTCGATGCGCAAATGTACGATACATTCATTATCATTCATCCCATGCGGATACGGGCACTGGTGTAGCGCATTATTATCTGAGAAGAGCACGATGCAGTTACACATGCTATGCAAGGATAAGCGCACTTCCCTAATTTCTCTCTCTCTCTCACACACACACACACACACACACACACACACACACACACACACACACACACACACACACACATCGTTGTGTCTCTGCTTGGCCGCACGCCTCTTACTTGAATTCCAGTCCAGACAAACAGGTTTGCTCTCTCACAGTCCGCGCGTTTCGCCAAACAAGCACAACCCGCGCGAGGGTATTTGCGTATCCCGGCAACCCCTGCACGAGGTTCGGCTCTCGGCTCCGGTTGGTCTCCCGCCGTTGTGTACTACGCGACAACTGCTAAGTGCTGCAGCAATCCTGGCATCGACGTCTCTTACACGGAATTACTGTTAAGCGTGCGCCGCTTCGCGCGTTCCCGCCCTAAACTGATTAGTCCCCACATTTCAGAGTAGTATCTCTGCTGTACTGTACGACGCTGTGAGGGGCAGGGTCGAGAATTTCACGAGGGCGCCTGAGAAGCTCGTCGCTGGTCAGGAACGCCAGAAGACGAGGGGTGTCAACGATTCGCCGTTGAACATCGAGCACGTCGACTCGAGGAATTTTGGAATTTAAGCAAACGTTACGGGAATCATAGTAGAGAGAAAGAGAGAAAATTTATTACGCTATGACGTATATATACTCCTCTCTCTATATTTGATTCCGTACGAATGTAGAATATTTTTATAAAACATTCCATAGTGTCATCGATATTGTGCCAAATATTTTTGATAAATTAATACATTGTATGAATGAAGAATATACGTGAAAGAAGTAAATTTTTTATTTCAGTATTGTACAAATTCTACGAACAGATACGTTTTTTTTTTCGAATAGATTAGCTAAATCGAATTAACAATATCTGTAATAATATATTCATCGAATAAATTGTGAAGAAATTAATTAAATCAATGCTTTTATAAAATTAAGGTCACACTGCATTCTAGAAAAAATTAAAATTGTAGAAGCAAGATAAAACATCAAATTAAAGCGAATTTATTCAATGATTATATCAAATTCAACCCAACGAATAATTAAAAGCTCGAATGGTTTCAAGAAGACAAAAATAAAAAATGAGACAGTATTAAAGATAAGTATATTATCATTATGTGTAGGAAAAGGAAAGTGAGAGAAGGAGGAGATAGAAAGGCAAACAAGAAGGAAAGGAGGGAGAGAGGGGGAGAACTCCATCTCAATTATGTATTCATAGCTAGAAAAGATATAACGCGCATGAGGGTGGTGGTAGAAGTCAATAGAAATGAAATATCAACGCTCTAGGTCCCCCATCGGTCCTACCATCCTCTTCCAGCCGCCTCTCCAATACGAGATCTAAAGTGTTTTTCGATATCTTGAAAAATTCCGCCGCGCCACGGCGTGCGTTTCCCGTCTTGGTTTTATTTCTTCTCTCCCGGGTGCAAGGCCGATTGCATGTGCGCTAGTAATATACGTAACTACCTTCTCGAGCGTGTATCTCACCGGCGAAAATCGGTGGTGGACCCGAACGCCGTGCCTCGAAAGAAAATACAATCGTAACTTCGAATATTTCTTATACGATACGATATATGAATGATATCAGATAGCAGTAAATATTCATTCAAAAATACCTTATCGCACACAGCAGATGCGGAAATTCATATTGGGATACATGAAGACCTATATTTATAACCGTCACGAATTATACAAATTTTGTATCAGATGCAATATTTAGTATTTTGAATGACGTCACGATATACCAATACGACAATTAATTAATAGTACATTCGCGTAAATCCGTATTTTTAATTTGTCAACTGTGGAGTATATAAATTTAACATTTTCGAATCATAGAATTTTGTATTTTTTTCACAGTCTTTGTAATCCGTAAAAGTTGAATACAATCTCAATTGACTTTTGATTAAAGTCTGACCATTGAACTATCTCAAAGTAGAAACTTAATAAAGTTTCTACCTTGAGAGAGAGATAGTTTAACTTTGATCATACTTTGATCAAAGGTTAATTTAGACTGAATATTGAACTGAATATGAAAATACGATTACTATGAATTGTGTATAATACATCTCTGTGAAATGTTATATTTATTCATTTCATGGTTGCACTGTCATTGCTCGATGCCTTCCAGGCCTTTTCCTTCTCTCAGATTCGTTCATCGCCTCCATAATACTCTCGAAAACAGAGTTAATTACGATCGCGCGTGGTAAACCAGAATAATCGCATAGCACTTTGTGGTATTCTCGACGTTAATTACACGCAACGCGTATTTTACTAGTACGGATTACAAAGATTAATAAAAAAAATACGAAACTATAATTCGAAAGTGCTGAATTTTTATCCAGTTGACAAACATTAAAATACGTTTATAACTGTATTTATTAATTAAATATATCGTGATACCATTCAATTAAAAATCATTTATGACAGAAAAGTTTAAAACTTAAACTTTAAAAAAATTTAAACAATATTATTAAAACATTGTTTAAAAATAACGTTTTAATACGATATGATGCCATTAAATCAAATTGACGATCACCCAAAACTGTAAAATTGAAATCTAATATTGCAGGCGCAACATATTAAAAAAATCTATATACTGTAGATAACCAATATATTACGATTTTCCATTACTTTAATTACTTAACCCAGCGATTCGTGTATTACTCCGTACTCTCAATTTGAAAGTATTGAGTGATTTACGTTTAAATCAACAAAAAATTCAGAACGCGATGTGGGACATTAGAATCTAATAGAGTTTTCGGCTGCAGTGAATTTGGATCAATTCAGCATATCGATTAACTCGGAAGGGCCATGAATTCATTCAATCAGAAATCAAAGTAGAGCATGTGATTCATTAATTGACTCTGGATCGATTCAAACACTGAAGTGTGTTAAAGAAATTATTATTCTCCCGTACAAATAGCATACTAAAATAATTTATAATCGCGCGAAATATCTGCTCTTATAAACAATAAATGCATTTACAATTATCAATTGCCAAAGTTAATTAATTACGTCGATTGTAACTATGGAATGTTGTTGATAGTTAAATAAATTTTGTCATTTTGACACTAAGAAATATCCATTTCACAAAAAAATCTTTAAATAACATAATCACATTATGTTGTATTAACACTCGAATATGTTAAAAAATTCAACTGTTAACAGAGTAGGTGAGTGGACCGTTTCCAACACAAATACACAAATTTTTTTACTGTGTGGGATTACAGGTTCGTCGATCGATATCATCCGCGTATTGTATAACAAATGAGACGCGAGACAACAATGTTATCCGATGTGCGGAACACGACACCAGTTGCGTGAAAAAATGGTAATCGGCTACCGATGGTCATGCAAAGGCGCGTGTCGCAAGATTCTATCTCGTATATTCCTACATAACGACATAGCATTTGCCACACATTGCAACACTGAGGATGGCAGGCAAAGTCCGTTCGCAATTGCTCCATTGTTAAACCATTTAGATATGTTTCATTGGTAGAGACGTGCACGAAGGAACGATACTTTAGCCCTTTGAAAATCGCGTCTGTATCCTCGTATGCATGTACTCGCCACGAGAATCGTGCAAAGCATGCAATCAATGCATTAAATAAGCTTCTGCATTCAAATCTAATGTGGCCTGGCTCCTTTCGTAAGTCCTGTACTACTTTAGTGTAGTTTTCTCAATCCATTACGAAGTTGCTACGTTCTCGTAAAATGATTTCTACGCCGCGAGTATGTCGAATAAATCAAGAGAAAGAACGTAATTGAGGATTCCGTGTTCAAAATGGTCCTCTATTAGTCGTGATTTATGTTGAATTGTCATGGAAATTCGAAACTATGGAAGTAATATATGAGATAATTGAGGTTTCCTGATACTGACGCAACATTAATGCTATTATGATTAAACCAAGCATGAAGGTAATGCAACATTTTTGCGTAAAGTATTTCTTAATAACATGAGACATATAAAAATAAGCTACTTTACTGCTATTATCATTAGGGGCAAAAAAACCGATATATTTCGCTTCTAATGATAATAGCAGTAGAGTAATGATATTTTAAAACAGATATGCTAATTACACACACGTCCCTAATTGCAAACGCTTTACTATTCAGCATCTTGCTTTATTATTCAGCAATTAAAGTGCATAGGCAAATTACGCTTAGTAGGGTAATTCACGATCGATGAAGTTATCTCTTTCGAACGACCTATTCGTGTTAATGGCGATATATAATGACGATATATACTGACTTGATCTGAATTAATCACCAAATAAAAATACAATGTTACGTTAATGTTACGTTAATAACAGCGTATTAATATTTAGAGATAGCTATATACCGGCTGCCACTCGACGGAAACAGTACTTGTAAACTCGTGTAAGCGTTCCAGTTTCGTTTCGCAAATGAAAGGACGAAGCGACGGAGGCTCGAGTTTTCTCTTTTGCGCCTCCTAAATCTTAAACAGAGACAAATGAAGCTGCGAAGTCTAGGTGCGACTTACCGTTAGGAGGGAACTCGTAGAAGAACGCAGATCTCGGGCTCAGACAACTGTAACAGAGGAAAATTACGGTTAAAATATGCTAACAATTAAAGGAACGGCGCCGCTTGGCACGCCGCCCGACGTCTACGCGCTTTTCCGCTCCGTTTCCCATTCGTTTTCACCCGCGACGATAATTTCACTGTGGTGCCACCAGTTACCGAACAAACACACGGTCAATATATACGGTCGCATCGAAATGACGGGTATCACTGTTAAGCGTAATAGAGCGATTGGTCGTCGGGATTTAATACTTCCTTTGATACACGAAATGGATCGGTCAGCGGGCATTTCGATACTATTACGTGCCGATAATGAATTTACCAGTGTTTAGGGAGTTAATTTCAATTTAGTTAGTGCGTATTATTTCAATTTAATACGTATTACAGTAGCGCGATTTGGTTCCTCGCTCGAATTTAACGCAGTCATTTGCGTAATACCTAAAATAGCGTAGTACAGATAACATGCGGCATACCTTCCTAAGTTTATGAGAACTATTTTCGCAAAATACAAGAAAATAATTCGCTTTTAAAAATAAAGAAAACTATTTGACAAAATTTTGCATAAACTGATATATTTTATAATTTAAAGTAATTTTTATTTCGGCTAATAATGTGAATCATGTTGAAGTTCGTAAGTCCCAATCTATATACAATAAAAGATATTTTCTATTTGTGTTAGAAACGATTCACTCCGAACTTATTAAAATTTTGTGTTAAATTTTTAATATATTCGAGTGATAATTTAATACGTGATTGTGTTTGAATATTTTGTGTTAAATTGATATTCAATATTTCTTAGCGTTAAAATAACACAATTTTAGAATAAGTGAACAAATAACATATAAATAATATTTTTTAAAACATAAATTCTAAGATGAATAAAATGAATAAAATGTGTTAATTTAACATATAAATGATAATTTTAATGGAGAAATATGATTGTTTACAAACTGTGTCAGTGTTACGTTTTTTATATTAATTTTTTATATATTTGTGTTAAAAAATATTCATCTTGTGTTAAATTGATTCTTGTGAAAAATTTGAATGAGCCATTTAGAATATTCAAATTGAAATATGTTAAATTTAATACAAATTTTCTAAGTGTGTATCAAAGGCGACAAAATTTGTCGTTTATATTTCTTAAATAATATTTCATTATAATAATAGAAAACAATGATTGTTCTGTTCCATATAGTTAGAGTTTTGATCTCCCTACGGGCATCAAATTAGGTACTGATGGTCAAAGGTAACATTATACGTGCGGTTTAACAAACGCGCAATTCTATGTACCGAAATTATGGAATTGTCATTAATATAGGTTTCCGTGGCGATATACGTGGTTTACATAACCGTATGTTGTCCACCGAATATTCATTTTTCTCCCCACATGTATAATTGTCTATGACTATGTATGACTATCATGAACAAAATAGTGAAAAGTGATTATGTGACTGTTAATCAGTGCGATGTATGTGCACTGAAAAAAATTTCTGGTTGAAAATGAATTAACTAGAAGATTCTAATTCATCAATCAGAATCTAATTATAATTATATAATAATAAAATCTCAACTATAATTATAATAAAATTCACTAGAAAATGATGATTGTTTTTTTCATTTTCAATCAGAAATTTTCTGGAAAAACAGCCTAGTTGCATTAATTGGAATTCTAATTCAATCAAAATTCTAATTAATATAACTAGACCTTTTTTTTCAGAAAATGTTATGTTTATAAATTAAAAGTAACGTTTATTGAAAATCGTTGTTACATGCTTGTATTGTACTCAATAATAAAATGTCTTTACGTGAGATAAGAACAGTATTCATGGTCCGTTTTTATCACAAGATTGTCTTATACAACGTAGATGTTTACGATGCTAATTCGTCTCTGTAATTAATATATGATATCTTAAGATTGCACTTAAAACGGTTAAGAACTGACTATGAACAGCTTAAATATATGAACGAATTAAAATTATATATAACTACACCTCTCGTTTTTAAATGCTTAATCAATAGCGACAGTACATTTAATTTAACTTTTAGCTGACAATGTTGGATTTTAAAAGTACAGTCAATTCTTTTATTGTAAATTTCAATAGATAAATTTTAATCTATAAAAAAATAAAATACAAATCAACTGTTATGACAATAAAAATTGTTGAAGCTTCCACAAATTCTAAAATTTTTTTACATTTTTATAGAGTCCACAAAACAATATAAAAATTTACATTGAAATTCGAAGATCCAGGCTGTGGACGAATGGTGAAAAAAATACCGGCGGAAAGTTAATAACAATTACGATCGTTTGACAGTTCATTCACACATACGCGAAAAGAGTCTTTCTCTTTCGGCTTCCAAAAATATGTAGATATATGTTCATGTTTGAAGTTGTGAAAATATGAAAGGAGAAAAGGATAGAGAGAAAAACAATAGGATGCGTTTGGCCCATTTTGCGGAATATCAATTGATTTGTAAGACGACCGCCAGGCTATATTTTATTGTAAATGGAAAGAGACAATTCTAAATAATACAAAAAGAAAAAGACTATACTTTTTGCTTCTATCGTACCTATACGGAAGAATTTAGAGTCACCATTCTTTTTCCTACATTCTGAATGCGCATACAAATGAGTAATTGAAATATAACCGTAATGACTTATAAGCGATCCTTTTCCATTTAACCGTACGGAAGAGTATGCGTAAATTCCAATGCACGTCTCGGGACACGTGGAGCATCGTGTCGCCGTAAATGGCGGTATTCACTGAAGTATTCCAAGTATCTCCGAGCCAGTAGAACCAGTCGATCTCTTACGGTAGATCACGTTGGAATGTGCGCACGCGGCGATTTCCGACGTTGCAGTGTTAAGGGTCGAGCGCGCACTAATCGTCTTATTGGCTGATCCAACGTTCCCGTTTCTACCGAACGTCCCGCACAAAGCGATTCAGCGTAGGAAGTCGAGAAGTGTCGCGGTAAGTACAGACACACGTGCTCGCGTACGACGGTGGATGGGCAGATGATGCAGGCGGCAGGATGGCCCGCGGGATGGAGAGAGAACGACGAAGAGGTCGGTAGTTCACGTGCCAGAGAATCGCTAATAGAGCATCGTATCTTGCCTCAATGTATCCCGATACAACGCGCCGTAATACTAACCGCATACTAATAGGACCCTTTGACGAAAAGCTAACATCTCTCAGCGGGTAAACCGCGTTGCAATTCCGGTCGAGCCACTCCCATCCTCCTCGCCGGCGCGACGCGGTGGACCTCTTCCTCTGTCTCCATCGGCACCTACGGTCAACCATTCGGAATCGATTGCCTGGAGTGATCCACTCTCCTCAATGGATTTGTAATAGATTCTGCCAGCAACATAGTACAACAAACGAAGAACATCCGTCATTCTCGAGCCAAAGATCGGCATTACGCTCGGATTCCGCGACAGGTAGCCGGTCATCATTCGTCGATCAAAGAGAATCAAGAAATTTTTTTACTGGCAATTTATAAACTTATATGAGAGGAGCAAAACCTACAGCATTTTTTTTCTAGGTTTTACTTCTCTCTTGTGTAAGTTACTAAATCTTCGATTAAATCTTCGGAAAGTTATTAAGTTACACCTTATTGAAACCCGAGTTATTTACTTTTGAGAGTTCTAAACGTCGCAAGATCGATCGCTGCCGATTTGTCATGATTCGTACGTACAACTGCATTCGACTTCCTTTCCCGTTGAGTTCACAGCATTCAGACTAAGAAGGACCGATTACTCCTTTTTTAGTTAACGGCGAATGTCGCTGCCAAGTAGCAATCGATTTGGAGACTGTTAAGAGTCATGATTACTACGGCGAGAACGAACGTTGGAAGGACGCCGTACTTCCGAGTCGTACGACACAAATGGATGGTAAAACGTTTCCGCCACCCGCGCAGAGAATCCTGATGAAGTCAAAGGGAGTGAGAGTAAGTAGAGAAGCTGATGTAAAATATGCAAGACGGCCTATCGTGGATATTTCGTATGCGATTGAAAACTGTAGCAAGCTCTACTCACTTCTGACTTGTTTGGTACCGAGCTCGAGAACACTCGGATATGCAAATTCCGGTGAATCCACGAGCATTCTCGACCGTTGCGTTTTTCGTGTTACATCTCATTTCTTGTAGTTTCTTCAGGAGATGGACTTTATAATCTCTTATATATAATATTTTCCCCGAAATATGTTCCTGAAGTCTGATCAGATTTATTGTGTATCTCTCTCTATCCCTCTCGCATTTTTCTTTTCAATATTTTTGTATATTTTTGTTACAGCTTCTCGATTTACAAACTAATATTCGAAAACTGATGAGTAATTCAAAAGATTTAATAAACTATTTTAATATACTTAAGAAATTTTTTTGTCGTTACTGTTATTAATAAATTATGATCATTCTTATATATTTTTCTCATGAACTATTTAAACTAATATGAAGTAGTTTAGAATAAAAACCTCGCATCTTTTCGCCTCCAGCGAAAGCATGTTGTATAATTTCATGCATGAAAAAAAAAGATATATACGAGAAACTTTATTTTACATGGCGCGAAACATGGCAACTAGCTAAATTGCAAACTAGATTCAGTATTTTTTATGGTTGAAGACATGCCTGCGGTTGACGCCGAATACGTAGTGCACAGTTGGTGAGAAGGGCATAGAAACGGCACGTATTCGGTGTGTTGCATTAACGTGATTCCAGTATAATCACGCGCGATACATTTGTAATAATGAATGAATTCGACGAGAGAATAGCAGTTTCCGTCGTTATTCATAAGCGCACGTTTCTCGTTGAAACAAAGTCCGTTGTTTTTGTCTGACAAAAATAATCTCGTGTTTCATATAAAATGCATGTTACCGCAAAATTCACATTTAGCATTATGATATTGGATTACATTTTTAACAATCGCATTTCTTCCACACAAAAGCAATAAATATCTAAATTCCACGAAAAGTACAGTCACAAGCGTTGATTTAGCTTTTTAATAGAAACAAGAG